GAAGGTTGGGCAATCCTACTTCCGTAGTGATACTGCCTCGGAAACCCAAGGAGGGGTCGCTACGAGTCAGGGCCGACTCAACGGCAAACAACAACGAATAAGATAGTTACATGTGTGTAAATTCTTTTCAGAAGTATAAACTAGAGTAGATCATCACTAAAGGCATTGCTGTTATTCTAAAATACTGTGGCTAAGTTAAGCTTACTTTAATACGTATAACCTATATAAAGTAAAAAAAGAAGGCAAGCCTCACCTTTCTTTAGAGATTTAGAGGAACTTGCGACTGGAGTGACCTCTTCGTCTTTGTCTTCTTCTTTGTTTTCTTCTTCTTTATCTTCTTCTTCTTTGTCTTCTTCGTGTTTGTGTTCTTCATTTTTTTTCCTCTCTCTTTCTTCAGACTCCTTCTTTTTGGACTTCATGTCTTCTAGTTCCTTCTCCAGATCTTTATTTTTTATAAGAGTAAAATGAAATTTCTCATTTACCTCATCAAACTTCTCTTCTGCCTGTCTAGCTCTGCTTTCAATCTCCCTGATGCAGAAAAAATCCAGAGAAACACAACAAAATGAAAAAGGTAAAAAAAAAAAAAAAAAAAGTATAAGTATCTTTGTCTAGAAAGTCATTGTCTAAAAAGGTCAATGGGATTGGATGAACACATCTGAAGAGTACAAATAAGGGAAGCAGTAACACCAATGGTTAGCCAAGAACTAACTAACTAGTCTGGGAACTAATTTAAAGGTTAACATCAGAGTTGTAGTTGTGCTATGATGTAAGAATAAAACATATTTATCATTTAAAAATGGTATCTGACTTTTGTTGTTGTTGTTGTTAGGTGCCATTGAGTCATTTCCGACTCATAGCGACCCTATGCACAGCAAGGAGCTCTGGTAGCATAGTGCCTAAGGCACTTGACTGCTTACCAGAAGGCTGGTGGATCAAACCCACCAGCCACTCCTCGGAAGGAAGGTTGGGCAATCCTACTTCCGTAGTGATACTGCCTCAGAAACCCAAGGAGGGGTTGCTATGAGTTGGGGCCGACTCGACGGCAAACAACAACAACAATGCACAGCAGAACGAAACACTGGCCGATCCCGCACCAACTCCATGATCCCTGCTATACTTGAGCCCATCATCGCAGCCATTGTGTCAATCCACCTCGTTGAAGGCCTCCCCCTCTTTCATCGATCCTCCACCCTACCAAGCATGACATCCTTCTGCAGGGAATGTTCCCTTCTGACAACATGACCAAAATAGGTGAGACGAAGTCTGGCCATTCTCGCTTCCAAGGAGCATTTCAGGTGCACTTCCTTCAGGACAGATCTGTTAGCTCTTTTGGCAGTCAACAGTACTTTCAGCATTCTTCGCCAGCACCACAATTCATCTCCACATCTGACTTTTGAGTATTTAGAATTCTCCTTCAATAGCTAGGGAACCCTTTTTTTAGGAATAGATTTGGAATCTTCTTAATCGATGTGATCCAACAAACTAAACCCAAGTGTCTCACTTCTACTACCTTTAAAATAAATTTTTACAATTGAGAAAACTAATTTAAGATGTCTTTCTTCATCAGTATAGCTCATGTTATATGTGTTTAGGCCTATGCTATTGGCATCTTCAGGCATTTTAACTCTTCCTAGGCTTAAGACATTTGACTGCTAACCAGAAGGCTGGAGGTACAAACTCACCAACCACTCCTCAGAAGGAAGACTGGGCAATCTATTTCTGCAGTGATACTGTCTTGGAAACCCAAGGAGGGGTCACTATTAGTTGGATCTGACTCGATGGCAAGGAGTTTGATTTTGGTTTTTAGTCTTTAGCCCATCACTCATCTGTCAGTTTGTTGTATTGTTGTGGCTTGCATATTGCTGTGAGGCTGCAGGCTATGCCACCAGTATTTCAAATACCAGCAGGGTCACACATGGTGGACATGTTTCAGCAGAGCTTCTAGACTAAGACAGACTTAGAAAAAGGAAAGAGTCATCCACTTCTCAAAGAATCGGCCAGTGTAAACCTTATGAATAGCAGTGAAACACTGTCTCATATATTACTGGAAAACTTTATGAATAGTTGTCTTTATCAAACACTGTCTGATATAGTGCCAGAAGATGAGCCCCTCAGGTCAGAAGGAGCTCAAAAATACAACTGGGGAAGAGCTGCCATCTCAAAGTAGAGTCAACCTTAATTACTTGGGTGGAGTAAAGCTTTTGGGACCTCTATTTGCTGATGCGCATGCCTCAAAATGGGAAGAAACACCTGCAAATATTCAATAATTGGAACATGGAATGTATGAAGTATGAATCTAGGGAAACTGGAACTTGTCAAAAATGAAAAGGAATGCATAAAGATCAATATCCTAGGCATTAATGAGCTAAAATGGACTGGGGTTTTGATAATTGTGAATCAGACAATCATATGATCTACTATACCAGGAATGACAAATTGAAGAGGAATGGCATAGCATTCATTGTCACAAAGAGTGTTTCAAAACCTATCCTGAAGTATAACGCTGTCAGTGATAATATAATATCCATATACCTACAAGGAAGACCAGTTAATACTACTATTATTCAAATTTATGTACCAACCACTAAAGCCAAAGACAAGGAAACTGAAGATTTTTATCAACTTCTGCAGTCTGAAATTGACCAAACATGCAATCAAGATGTATTGATTATTACTTTCTCAGAAACAAAGAAGAATCACTGAAAGTTAGAAACAAAGAAGAATCACTGGTAGTTGGAAAATATGACTTTGGTGATAGAAATGACACTGGAGATTGCATGATAGAATTTTGCAAGACCAATGATTTACTCATTGCAAATATCTTTTTTCAACAACATAACTGGCAGCTGTACACGTGGACCTTGCCAGATGGAATACACAGGAATCAGATTGACCACACCTGTGGTAAGAGGCTATGAAGAAGCTCAATATCTTTAGACATAACAAGACCAGGAGCCAGATGAGGAACAGACCATCATGCTCATGTGCAAGTTCAAGTTTAAGCTGAAGACAATTAAAAGAACTCCACAAGAGCCAAAATATGACCTTGATTACATCCCACCTGAATTTAGAGACCATCTGAAGAATAGATTTGACACACTGAACACCAATGACAAAAAACCAGACCAATTGTGGGATGACATCAAGAACATCATACATGAAGAAAGCAAAAGGTCACTAAAAAGGCAAGAAAGGGACTTCAAGTATGATGGTGGAATAGACAGACAAGCTACTCTGATTCTCTTCCACAAAGAAAAGAGAAACCAACTGACACAGACACAGAAGATAATCCTGGAGCCCTGAGTTTGGAAAGAAAGGAGAAAGAAGTGGATTAAGTACCAATTAGTAGAAGAACCTAAATGAAAACAGTGAATAAGGAAACAAACAGTGCTACGGATTTTCAGCTATCCTGACAACATTGTCAGTTTGAATATTTACAAGTTGTGTTAGGACCTGGGCAATAACCTAAAAATCAGCCCAGCTCACTAAGGGCTACATGGATAACTACACTGGTGGCTGATGACTAGAAAGGAAAACAGCAAATAAGGAAACAAACTGATCTGTTGACTTTTGGCTGTCCTGAGGGCGTAGCCATTTTGATTATTGGCAAGTAGTGCAGCCAGTTTGGGTATTTAAAGTGGCAGTGTTCCTATCTCAGAGACCTAAGAATAGGCTCCACTTGTTGAGAACAGTATGGGCAACAACACTGGAGGCTGACGACCAGAAAGGTGTGATATTCCCTTTGTTACTCTTACACCCCACACCCACTTGGTGAACAGAGGTGCAGCCATCTCCCAACACCACCCCTATTTTGGACTGGCAGGAATTCCATGCCAGTCTGTGTGCTCTGACAGAGCCTGGGTGCCCTGCCACCCTCCAAAATTTGTTTGTTTGTTTAAAAAGTCTTCTTTTTTTCCTTTTAGTTTTTATTCTTTCTTTTTCCCTTCATGGATTCTAGGTTTTTTTTTTTTTTTTTCCCCTTTTCCATTTCCTGGGTTCCCATCTTTTTTTCTTTCTTTTGGTTCTTCCCATCCCTTCTTTTTCCTTTTGCAGTGTTCTCATTTTTTTCTTTACATTCTTTCACTCTTGCTCTTTTCTTTTATTCCACCCCCTGCTCCACAGATATGGTGGTGTTTCTTTTTTTTCCTCTATTTTCTATTTATGTTTTTTTTTCTATTTTTAAACTATGTCTTTAAATAGTTCTTCTTATTTATTGCCATTCTTTTTTTTTTTTTTTTTTAGTGATTATTTCTGTGTGCTTATGTGGTTTGTGTTTTTTTTGTCCTCTTCTTTTTACTTTTTTGCTGTTTTTTTTTCTCATTGTTGCTCTTGCCTAACTGAATGGGAGAAAACAACTGTGTTCATATGACCCAACCATATCCACACCTCCTGCAGCCCCATCTACTGAGTAAGGACCACCACTTGCTTCTGCACCAACTGGCCAATCACAGATGACAGCCAGTAAAGCCCAACTCACCATTAACTGCTCTTTACAAACAGCTAACAGAGATCTGTGCAGACACTCTCATTCTCTATCACACCCACCAGCAGACAGGTGGTGAGAGCCTAAGTGATGCCAGCTAGCGAATAGAGAAGCACAGTACCACACTCACTCAGATACATCAAAACAAAACAAAGGGAAAAGAAATCTTGGGTAAATCACACCAATATACAATCACCAATTAAATATAAATACAACAATGTCACAATGTCTTGGAGACAATAGACACACAAAGAAGCAAGATAAAGTAGTAGAAACAAGGAACCAGGATGCAGGCCCAGAAAACATCCCCGAGGAAGAAGGAACATTGGAATTCACTGATTAAGGAATTCACAAGAATTATATTTCAGCCCTACAACAGATTTGAGAGACATGTCAAGGAAAACACTGACAAAATTAAGAAAAACACAGACAAAACCCTAGAACAATTTCAGAAGACAATACAAGAACAAAATGACAACATAAACAAAAAATTAGAAATGATACAAAATCCACAGATAAAAATCCAGAAGATTTATACAAAATTTTCAGAAATAGACAACACATTGAACAGGCAAAGGAGTAGAACTGAATTAATGAAAAACAGAATTAGTGAGATTGAAGACAAATACCTCAATACTTCTTTGGAAAGGGATCAATCAGAAAAGGATCAAAACAAAATGAAGAAAGCTTAAGATGTATGTGGGATGCCATCAAGAGGAAAAAATCACATGTAATCAGAATTCCATAACAGGAAGAGACAAATAAAACCATAAAGAAAATTGTAGAAGATTTGTTGGAAGAGTATTTCCCTGATATGATGAAAGATGAGAATATATCCATTAAAGAAGTTCAACAAACCCTAAACAGGATAGACATCAAAAGAAAATAACCAAGACATATCATAATCAAACTCACTAAAACAAAAAACAAAGAAAGAATCCTGAAAATAGCACGGGAAAAACAAAGTTACCTACAAAGGGAAACCAATAAAACTAAGCTCTGATTTTTCAGCAGAAACCATGAAGGCAAGAAAGCAGTGGGATGG